ACCTCAAGAAACACCCAGACATAGCCATGGTCACAGCTGACAAGAGACATGCCATGGTCATCCTTGACAAGTCTGAGTTCCACTCCTTGGTCAACAAGATGCTCACCGACCCCACCACCTACAGAAAACTCAAGAAGGATCCCACCAGCACACTCCAACGTCAGCACAAGTCCACATTGAAACGCATGAAAGACACCTTTGAGATTACCGCCCAACCATATCATGAACTTTCTGTCTCGCACCCACAGCCCCCCAATGCCCGCGCCACCATCAAGAGTCATAAAGACCTCATCAAGGCAAGACTGCTTGTATGTTCAAGGGACACAGTCTTTTACAACACCACTCAGTACCTCGCCGAAATACTCTCCCCTCTTGGTAAAACAGCGAAATCCTACATCACAGACTCCACAGACTTCTGCCAAACGATAAGCAGCATTACTGAACCCGACCAGATTATCAGCTACGATGTTGTTGACCTCTTTACAAACTTCCCACCTACGAAGCCCTACAAATCCTCCGTCAGCGCATCTCCAACCTGGATCTACCTTTCCATAGACTCCATCATCAGCCTCACTAAATCATGCATAACATCGACCTACTTCACCGGGGGAGACAACATTTTCGAACAGATCCATGGTCTCCCCTTTTTCACCCATTCTTACTGAAATCTACATGACCCATTTTGAAGAAGAAACCGTGGCCTCCTTCCCCATCCAACCTGTGTGCTGGATGACACCTTTGTCATCCTCGGAAAAGACCAAGATTCCACCTCACTACACCAGCACCTCAATACCCAACATCCCCGAATCAAGTTCACTGTGGAGACAGAGAACGACAACAAACTCCCCTTCCAAGATGTCCTTGTCCCAGAGACCCCTGCGACACGATCCAAACCAAAGTCTACAGAACACCCTCCCATTCCGACCAGTACATTCATTTCAACTCTAACCACCCCCCTAAAACAAAGTTCGGTGTCATCTCGCCAAGAATATTTGCTCCAGCAGCGATGACCTAGAACATGAACTTAACCACCTACAAAGTCTTCACCAACTTCAACCAGTATCCGACTAACCTAGTCAAGAGGACCATCTCCACCACGCTCCAGGACAAACCCAAACCGACGAAGCATGTATCCGTAATCCACCCTCCACTAAGCAACCCCCCAAAGGAGTGATTTACAAGATTAACTGAATGTGGTGATTCTTATATAGGTGAAACCTCCAGTCCCGTTGACACCCACATAATAGAACATACAACCTCTACAGCCATGGCAGAGAGCAAATCAGCCCTCTTTGAAAACCAGCAAAACTTCCCTACCCATCAAATCAAGTTTGACAAATTCGAAGTCCTATCAACCAAACGTCAGGCAGAGAGAAACAGCCCTCTCAGATCACCAACAAAAATTCCCTACCCATCAAATCAAGTTTGACGAATTCGAAGTTCTATCAACCAAAAATCAGGACTTCACAAAAAGAAAACTGTTGGAAGCCATCGAAATCCGCCGCCACAAAGCATCAGCCTATGAAGAAGTAATAAAACTATAGACTATTAAAGCACCCTGTCTATTTGTTGTTACTACTTAATCCTCCTGTTTATTGGCTTCATCACTTATACTATTTGTTGCTTTTAGTTCCGTTGTTAATGTTTATCTGCTGCTTGTCACAACATACCATGTATATATGCTTCTCACCATTTGGTTGTAGTCACTTTTAGCTTAATAACGATGTAAGAATCTACCTCGAAACGTCGCTTTACGCAATAAACCAGGTGTTGTCATCCATAAAGTTGTATGTTTCATTTTTTAATACCATATTGTTTTCTCAATCGTAAATGTGTTCATACGTACCTGTAAGTTGTCTTTAATATGTGCATCATTTTATCTGTCGTAAATGTGTTAATACGTACCTGTAAGTTGTCTTTAATATATGCATCATTTTATCTGTCGTAAATGTGTTAATACGTACCTGTAAGTTGTCTTTAATATATGCATCATTTTATCTGTCGTAAATGTTTTATACGTACCTGTAAGGGGTCCGTTGATAAAACTGTATCCGTTCTAGACCGTTTCGTGTTGACTGGGCCATCTACTCGACAGGAAAGATCAGCAACCTCAAATATGAAGCTGGTGCATCCACCTACACGATGACAGAGGTCTTCACACATGCGGGGACCAAAGGGCTTTATGTCTTGTCGGTATACATGTATATAGGAGGCAGTGGTAAAACTGCATATCATTGAAGTTATGCAAAGACCTGCAACGTAGTGCTTCATATTCTTCTGGCAGATTTCTGCAGCAACTACTAAGGCAATGACCTGCTCTTTCCTGGGAGGTCTTCACACGTGCGGAGACCAAAAGGCTATATATGTTGCCTATATACGGATATATAGGAGGCAGTGGTGAAACTGAATTCTGCAAAGATTTGCAACGTAACCCTTCTTCTACACCATCCCCTCAGAAACCACTATTGCAGTGATCTGGCCTTCAATACTCAGATCTCATCTGTCGAACGAAGTTGGAGGTATGGTAAAATAAGTTAGTTCTGTTTGGAAATAAGAACTCTCTTTTGTGAGGTTGGGCGGCACTTGTATGTGTGCAGTCACTGAGAAGGTTTAGCATTTTTTATTGAAAGAAATGTCTTGTTCGACAACATTTATAATTAAATGGTAATGATATATTGTAAACGATATGCTCTTTGACGTGTGAGGGTTCCATGTGGCAAAAGGTTTAGGGATATTTCTAGCCAAAACCTTGTCAATTGTTCATGCCGCTAATCGTTCCCAAACTCAATAAGCCCGGTAACTGATGACTGGAAAGAGCTGCTGAGCACTTAAATTATAACGGTTGTTTAAAAAGGTACTTTTCGCCTGGAAACAATGAGATATGTCATGCATTTTATGTATTTATCACTACTAAGCCCTGTGTTCATCACTATGCAGTATGGGAAGCAGTGTTTGATCCCAAACCGAGTGAGCGAGTGAGTGAGTGAGTGAGTGAGTGAGTGAGCGAGCGAGGGAGGGAGGAAGGGAGGGAGGGAGTGAGCGAGCGAGCGAGCGAGTGAGTGAGTGGGGGTGAGCGAGGGAGGGAGTGAGTGAGTTTACGCCGCCTATAGCAATATTCCAGCAATATCACGTCGGGGTCACCAGAAATGGGCTTCACACATTGTAACAATGTTGGGAAGAGAACCCGGGTCTATGGCGTGACGAGCGAACGCTTTAACCACAAGTCTACCCCACCGCCCGTGTATCTCAGATGAAGAGAAATGGAAAGACGTAAGGTTGGAACTGTTGGAATACTACTCGATATCCCTGATCCATTTGAAAGTTTGACATTAAAATATGCAAATTGTTACTTTACTATCGTATTGACACAAGTTGTTGAAGGTGAAATTCATTTCTTATGTGAATGCAAATGTTAGGTTGATCTTACATACGATTTGTTAGCCTCCTATTATACTTTTAATGATATTGCTATAAATGATAAAAATACTTTGTTCATTAAACCAATGAATTTGAAAATATCTATTTTGTACATATGTTAGCCAGTAACATAGCAAAAATGTTTTTAAGACGCACTTTACATCCACCTAATTATATACTTTCTAAAAATATTTTAAGCACAATTTACCGTATTACATTATGTAATGCTCTTATATAATGTATATGCTATACCTTTTTAACAGTCACAACGATTGTATATTCTCACCAAGTTGTTTTTTTATATTGTCCATTTAATACCTTATTTTGTAATATGCTTTTTTATATTTCATAAGATTTAAATGTTTAGTGTCTCATAAGCCAGTTATGGCTGGATGACAGTTTTGTAAATAAATATTTTGACTACCTTGATTTTAACTGTGATGTGACACTTTAATAAAATACTTCTGTATGTGTTGTCCGTGTTTCCTTAATGACCCTTGACCGGATCCAGCGCTAGATGTGCAAGGATGTATCTACGGTTTATGGACAAGAAGTCGATCTTTTGAAATTTCGCTATGGACAGCCGCTGTAAACTTTGATGTTAAAGGTGTTGCTTGAGTCATAGTTTTTCGATAACTTAAGGATCGCGTAAGGCGTGAACATAGTTCACTCAAAATCTCATCTGTGAGAGTGAATTTTACAGTGGTGAACATATTTCATTCGATTTGGATGTATATGGAAAGACCTCCGTGAACCCAGTATGTAGATGTATCATGCATGGTATTAATCAATGGTTTTTTATATATAAAGGTTGAGAGAGCTCTGTTTGGACACATTGGCGACCATGCCCGACGACCCACGCTGCCGAGACACCAGTGACTTCATCACCAGCTACTGAATCAAGCATGACCTCCATAGATCCCGGTGGAACCATCTGGAAGGGTGGTACTCTTGTCTGAAGAGATTGGTGGGAAAAGCCCACCCCAGTTTTTATTGCTAAACATCTTGCTAAGAGGTGAGTGAGTTTAGTTTAGTTTTACACCGCACTCAGCAATATTCCAGGTATATGGCGGCGCTCTGTAAATAATCGACTCTGGACCAGACACAGTGATCAACAACATGAGTATCAATCTACGCAATTGGGATACGATGACATGTGTCAACCCAGTCAGCGAGTCTGACCACCCGTTCCCGTTAGTCTTACGATAAGCATGGGTTGCTGAAGATAAATTCTATCCCGCGTCTTCACGGGTTTTGTTCTATTATAAATCTGTTATTTGTACCAGGTTGTATTATTTTATGTTTATTGTATTAATGTATGTGTAGATAGGTCTCATTACTCTATGCATGCCAATACCAAGTTGAAATCAATTCACTCACTCATTCACTCATTCACGCACGCACGCACGCACTTAAGCATTCATTCCTTCACTCATACTTAGAACATTTTCTACACAAGAATTCCCCGAGGAATAGGTGTCCAGAAAGTAACTCATCGCTCTGCATGAAACCATGTCAAATAACAATTCTTTACATATTTACGATTTTATTCTTGACAAAACTCGCCTGCAGAATACAATCCATAAAAATGGAGGATGGATAGACACGACAAAGGTTGTGATCATTATCGCATGTGATATGATATTCTGATCATTTCTGATACCTATTTCTATTCCAGGGCCACCTCCTTGGATCAAAGGTGTCCTCCCTCAGCTCCGTTATAAAACGACAGTCTATGGTTTCCTTGTCTAGTTCCTCCAACGCCATGTTCAGCACCACCAGCCTCTTTCCCACGTCGGAGCCTCGTTTTAGTGGATCTGGTCCAAGATTTGGGTTCACGCTGCGTCGATCTGCATACTTATCCCGATCCTCCTTCAGCAGCTTCTGAAGCAGCAGCAGATATTTGTGAGTGTAGAACTTCAGAGTCTTGGACGGAGAATCATCGATGGTGATGGGCTTCAAATCTAAACGGTTTGCAAATGCCTGGAATCCTTCGTCTTTTTCTTCCAAAGGTCGGGTCCCAATCGTTGTTGGACGTCTCAGTAAAGAGGCTTTCAAAGATGGATCCGGGATCGGCGGTAAACCGACTGTTGTAGTTGTCTCCCTTGTGGAGGGTGACTTCCTGTCTGGGGTGAAGGTCGAAGTATGGGATTCTAGTTTTGTTGTGAGAGTAGGGAAGAGTTCAGGAACTCTAGGACTTGTGAATCTGTACTCAGCACTGGCCAAATAATGAACCCTCTTAGCGTGTTCGTATACTTTCGGCCTTCTCGGACTCTTCTTGGCGTACACAATGGAGCTCCTTCTCAAAGTCCTCTCGACCTTATGTTTCTCGTCCCTCCCTGAAAACGAAAATAACAAAGGAGAGAGTTGAATCATGCCTTTAAATCAATTCTGGAACGATTCCGACTGTCACAAGCATATGTTTATGAATCACTATTGAACTTTAATGACACCAGGTGTTCGCGAAATCGAGAGCGTATCCTTCCCCACCGGTGACACACCTCACTAATCATGCATCGGCAGGTAGATCGTTTTGTATGAGATACGTTTCAGAAGCTGAAATTAATGAGTGAATGAGTTTAGTTTTACGCCGCACTCAGCAATATTCCAGTCTGTAAATAATCAAGTCTGTACCAGACAATTCAATGAACAACAGCAATTTGGATACGATGACATGTGTCAACCTAGTCAGCAAACCAGACTACCCGATCCCATTAGTCGCAAGCATGGGTTGCTGAAGAAAAATTCTATCCCGGTTCTTCGCGGGTTTTGTTCTGTTATAAATTTGTTTTTAATCGCCTCTTACGACAAGCATGGGTTGCTGAAGATAAATTCTATCCCGGGTCTTCGCGGGTTTTGTTCTGTTATAAAACTGTTTTTAATCGCCTCTTACGACAAGCATGGGTTGCTGAAGACAAATTCTATCCCGGGTCTTCGCGGGTTTTGTTCTATTATAAATCTGTTGTTTTCAATCGCCTCTTACGACAAGCATGGGTTGCTGAAGACAAATTCTATCCCGGGTCTTCGCGGGTTTTGTTCTATCATAAATCTGTTTTCAATCGCCTCTTACGACAAACATGGGTTGCTGAAGAAATTCTAACACCGGAAATTAAAGAGCTGAAAGGTTTATACACCCCAACCAGAGAGTGCACAAGAACCCCATGCTCTTTACCCCGCTTGCTGCTGTTCCATTTTATATTGTCAGAAAGTAAATGTATTGTATAATCTTACAAGATTCTTTTTAGATTTGTGACATCACTTTCGTAACTTTGCTATATCTTCACAAAACTATTTTTATATCGAACACGCCTATAATGAACTAACGGATATAACGAAACTTTCTTATTGATACCGGCCACGTGTTGTATATTTTAGTCGAAATGTGTATAATGAACTACGGTATAACGAACTACAATTAGTGCCCCCTTTGAGTTCGTTATAACCGTAGTTTATTGTGTTTCCAATATGATAGTTTTGTTGACCGCATGAGTTCTTTTTCATGAAGTTAGGACTGATCGCTGCGAACGTCTTTGGGAACCTTCACCCTTGGGAGAAAGGTATATTTTACTTATGACTAAAGAAGTATATCTATTGACTATGTCAAACAGGTCCAATTACAAAGAAAACAGGAGATAGGGCAAATTGATATACCATACAAGATGTTTTGGACAAGTAATCTTTTAGCTGGACGATCAAACGTTTTAATTCCTAACAAAAATACTTTATACCTTAATAGCATTGATTTGAGAAAAAGTACTTTACGATACTAACAACGTTCTTATGGCAGTACTATCAAACATTCGTCACCGCTCGCTCCTTTCCGTAATCAGCTTATCCCGGAATAACACTAGTTGGTCACGAGTGTACCATAAGGGTTCGATGAAGAGTGAGTGAGTTTAGTTTTACGCCGTGTTTAGCAATATTCCAACCATAACAATATCACATGGGACACCAGAAATGGGCTTCACACATTGTACCCATGTGGGGAATCTTACCCGGATCTTCGACGTGACGAGCGAACGCTTTAACCACTACGCTACACCACCGCCCCTATTTAAAGAGATATTCCTGCTAGGATCCTAACATCGCCGATTTGAATCTCAGATTCCACTTTTAGATTTTTAGTCTTGATGTGGCAGCACAACTCTGTACTATATCAACGGCCTCCATGAGCTTTTACATTGAACCGACACCAGGTCAAATAACTTAAATTTGTCCAAAGAGCTCTCATAAGATTATTACAATATACCCGAACATAACAATACTGATGGGAAAACAAAATGCAAGGTTATAATTTATCATCCGATGAAACTTAGAGGACTGTCGTACTGACATCATATTTAGCAACATTGTCCAGTATTTAAAGTAGCAACATTTAATGAGAATAAAGGAATGTTTATATTTTTCTTGATGCACAGAACTGTATTTGATAAACTGACAGACAACTGGCACAAAGTTCAGGCGGAAAATATTAAATGAGTATATAAACACTGGCCATTTCACTTGTAAAAATGAAATAATCAAAGTGATAAAGGTTTAAAACTTACTCTTTTCAGCGCCTTTGCCGTAAACCAAACTTTCGTATACCCCTTACCATATTTTCAAATCATGAACAGAGCCATTTGCAAGTCGGTCCATGCGTCAAAGCCTGAACAAGGAAAGCGGACAATGACGTCATAGACAGGGACGTCACAATATCATGACGTCATAATATCCCTGTACAAATGCAATGGCTTGCACGACATGCAGTGTAAACAGCCAGCATCTACATGTAGTTCATCTGAACTGTTCTCATTTACTCTTAACAGGGCTGTGCCACGTTGTACATTTCAGCTGTCAATTGCAGTCAGGGTCGATATGTACACCTGTCAAGTTACATGATTGCGTGCGCAACTCATTATCAAGCTCAGGCTGAACACTCTACGGTCTCCGATGACGAACATACATGTACATGTATACTAAATTACTAAATATAAAGCAAGATCATATTTATCAAAGATTGTTTGTAATCTGTGTGTCTCGTCCCCGTCAATGTCTGTTGTGATATTAATCCTGACATGATTAATCATTACCTATTACCTTTTATATCTTTACACGAAAACTAATATTTTCTCGAACGTGCCATATATGATTTCCCATTCGTTTTATAAATATTTGGATGATATTTTTATCTCTTGGTGAGGTTGAGAAAATAAATCATTTGACCTGGGTTCAGTTACAATCTCAACTCAGTGCCTGTAAAACGTGATGGATGTTTAGTGACGAAAAGCGACAATTTGTCACAGTTCACAGTAGCAAATAGGGAAGTACAGAGAGATTTCGGGTATATTGTAATAATCCTATGAGAGCTCTTTGGACAAATTTAAGTTATTTGACCTGGTGTCGGTTCAATGTAAAAGCTCATGGAGGCCGTTGATATAGTACAGAATTGTGCTGCCACTTCAAGACTAAAAATCTAAAAGTAGAATCTGAGATTCGAATCGGGGATGTTAGGATCCTAGCAGGAATGTCTATTTAAATAGGGGCGGCGGTGTAGCCTAGTGGTTAAAGCGTTCGCTCGTCACGCTGAAGACCCGGGTAAGATTCCCCACATGGGTACAATGTGTGAAGCCCATTTCTGGTGTCCCATGTGATATTGTTATGGTTGGAATATTACTAAACGCGGCGTAAAACTAAACTTACTCACTCTTCATCGAACCCTCATGGTAAACTCGTGACCAACTAGTGTTATTCCGTGATAAGCTGATTATGGAAAGGAGCGAGCGGTGACGAATGTTTGATAGTACTGTCATAAGTACGTTGTAAGTATCGTAAAGTACTTTTTCTCAAAACAATGCTATTAAGGTATAAAGTATTTTTGTTAGGAATTAAAACGTTTGATCGTCCAGCTAAAAGGATAATTTTCCAAAACATCTTGTATGGTATATCAATTTGCCCTCTCTCCTGTTTTCTTTGTAACTGGACCTGTTTGACATAGTCAATAGATATACTTCTTTAATCATAAGTAACATATACCATTCTCCCAAGGGCGAAGGTTCCCAAAGACGTTCGCAGCGCTCCGTCCTAACTTCAAAAAAAACAAACTCATCCGATCAAGAAAACTATCATATTGGAAACACAATAAACTACGGTTATAACGAACTCAAAGGGGGCACTAATTGTAGTTCGTTATACCGTAGTTCGTTATACACATTTCGACAAGCGGGGTAAAGAGCACGGGGTTCTTGTGCACTCTCTGGTTGGGGTGTACAAACCTTTCAGCTCTTTAATTTCCGGTGTTAGAATTTTTCTTCAGCAACCAATGTTTGTCGTAAGAGGCAAATGAAGACAACAGATTTATAATTGAACAAAACCCGGAAAATCCGGAAAAGAATTTGTCTTCAGCAACCCATGCTTGTCGTAAGAGGCGATTAAAAACAGATTTATAATTGAACAAAACGTTTGAAAACCCGGGATAGAATTTATCTTCAGCAACCAGTGCTGGTCGTAAGAGGCGATTAAAAACAGATTTATAACAGAACAAAACCGCGAAGACCCGGGATAGAATTTATCTTCAGCAACCCATGCTTGTCATAGGAGGTGATTAAAAACAGATTTATAACAGAACAAAACCCGCGAAGACCCGGGATAGAATTTATCTTCAGCAACCAATGCTTGTCCTAAGAGGCGATTAAAAACAGATTTATAACAGAACAACCCGCGAAGACCCGGGATAGAATTTATCTTCAGCAACTCATGCTTGTCGTAAGAGGCGATTAAAAACAGATTTATAACAGAACAAATCCCGCGAAGACCCTGGATAGAATTTATCTTCAGCAACACATGCTTGTCATAAGAGGCAATTAAAAACAGATTTATTACAGAACAAAACTCGCGAAGACCCAAAATAGATTTTATCTTCAGCAACCCATGTTTGTCGTAAGAGGCGATTAAAAACAGATTTGTAACAGAACAAAACCCCACGAAGACCCGGGATAGACTTTATCTTCAGCAACCCATGCTTGCGACTAATAGGTTCGTGTAGTCTGGTTTGCTGACTTTGTTGACACATGTCATCGTATCCCAATAGCTGTTGTTCATTGAATTGTCTGGTACAGACTTGATTATTTACAGACTGGAATATTGCTGAGTGCGGTGTAAAACTAAACTCATTCACTCATGAATTTCAGCTTCTGAAACTTATCTCATACACAACGATCTACCTGCCGATGCATGATTAGTGAGGTGTGCCACCGGTGGGGAAGGATACGCTCTCATTTTCGCGAACACCTGGTGTCATTAAAGTTCAATAGTGATTCATAAACACATGCTTGTGACAGTCGGAATCGTTCCAGAATTG